CTAAATGAACCACTGATGTATTTATACATGTTGATCATATCCCCCCTTAATCTCCTCTTCTCAAGAGAGAACAAATTCAGTTCCTCTAATCCTTCCTCATAGCTGAGCTCCTCCATGCCTCTTATCAGTTTGGTTGCCCTTCTCCGTACTTTCTCCAGTTCCCCAATGTTTTTTTTGTGAATTGGTGCCCAAAACTGAACTACGTATTCCAGATGAGGTATTATTAATGATTTGTACAGGGGTAAAATTATTTCTCTCTCTCTGGAGTCCATACCTCTTTTTAATACAAGAGAGGATTTTGTTCGCTTTAGAAACTGCAGCTTGGCATTGCATGCCATTATTAACCACATGTCGCCCAGCCACTGTAGAAATACGTTGGCAGGGTGGCACAGCTGGGCAAAACCACGTTTGTTTGCAAAACACTCCCCTCACACAGTTAACCCTTTCAGTAAATAAAAAAGTTACCCCTTCCTCCCCAGTGCCATTAGTACAGTGTCAGTGGTTTTTTTTTTTGCACTGATCACTGTATTGGTGTCACTGGGGATGTCAGTGACCCCAAGTCAGTTTCACCCCAGTGTCAGAATATCCACCGCAGTCCCACAGTCCCACCATAAGTCGCTGATTGCCGCCATAAGTCACTGATTGCTTCCATAAGTCGCTGATCACCGCTATTATTAGTATAAAAAAAATTAAAAATCCCAGTATCTTTCTCACCATTTGTAAACACTATAACTTTCACGTAAACCAATTAATTTACACGTAGTGGGGTTTTTTTTTTAGCAAAGACATGTCGCAGAATGCATTTTGGCCGAAATTTATGACGAAATTTGATTTTTTAATTTTTTTTACTGGACATGTTTTATAGCAAAAAGTCCAAAATATTGTTTTTTTTCCTCAAAATTGTCAGCCTTTTTTTTTATAGCGAAAAAATAAAAAATGCACAAGCGATCAAATACCACCGAAAGAAAGCTTTATTTGTGTGAAAAAAAGAACATAAATTTCATTTATGTATCGTATTGCATGACCGCACAATTGTCCATTAAACTAGCGCAGCGCTGTATAGCAAAAAACTGGCGTAAATTGCAGTATCTATACCATAGTTTGTAGACGCTATACCTTTCACACAAAGCAATCAATATACACTTATTTGGATTTTTTTTTACCAAAAACATGTAGCAGAATACATTTTTTTGGTTCCAAAAATACTTTATTAATATAAGAAGAAACAAAATAGCATATAGAGCATATACAGCCATAGATCACAGTCAGAACATAAACATGACACGGTGCCTCCTGTTTCGCAGACGGGACATATTGTAAACTGTAATACAAGTCAAAATGTGGTAGAACATTACTTCAGGCATACAATGTAAACCAGTGGATACGCAGAGGAAAGAGGATCGATGTATGTATTTGTTGTCACTTCTTGAATATCAGCAGGTGATATGAAGATTAAAGTAGGGAAAGCATTGGATGCTGTGAAAGTCATGGTTTACGTATTTGTAACTTGAGTGAATGATATAGTTGCATTTAGTCATATCTGTGTGGAAGTAAATGCTCTATTTGGTTGGTGAAGAATGAATGATAAGTTGGTATAACAGGTGTGAAAAAAAAAAGGAGGTCTGAAAGAAGGACAGTAAGAAAAAGAAATGTAGGATGAGATGGCGGGGGGAATATGGGGGAAAAAAAAAAATAATTTGGGGGGGGGGGGGGGGAGTAAGGGGTTAAGTGACAGTAGAATGTATAGGTAATACAAAGTTTAAATTGGATCACTTCCCTAAGCAATAGCCAAGCCAGAAAGGTAGTAATAAGGCTTAGAATATGGTACGTGCAAGATCGGTGGTAAAAGTGTCCCCGGTGATCTGGGTATTTCCCAAAACCGCATTGTATTAGGACATTTAGTCAGGGGATATAGATTGATCCTTTACTATTAGATGATAGGTAGAAGTGGATTTGAAATGACTCCAGCATGCCCATGTTTTCCTAAATCTCTCGGGATGTTCCTTAGCTATAGAAATCAGTTCCTCCATTTCCTCAGTTTTGTTGATCCTAGCAAACCATTCTCGTATAGTGGGAACATGTGTTGAGCGCCAGTGGACTGGGATACATTGATTTGCAGCATTTACATGTGCATGGCAAGAGATTTGCGGTATGTCCGAAATGGAAGAGCGGTATGATGAAGCAAAAATTGTGCAGGGGAAAGGTCTAGGGCATACATAGTAACTTGTGCGATTGCAGATTGAAGTTTATCCCAGAAGGTTTGCAACCACGGGCATTCCCACCAAATGTGCAGGAGTGTACCCATCGTTTGATGGCATCTCCAACACAAATCAGAAATGTTGGAGTTGAAGCGGTGAAGCAGGGATGGTACCCTATACCATCTAGAGTATACTTTAAAGTTATTTTCTTGTGTGGAGACACATATAGATCCTTTGTGTATGTGTTCATATATGTGGTCCCAGTCAGCAGGCGAAAGTTGGATTTGTAAGTCAGCGCTCCAGGTCTTGCAAGCTTTCCTGGTTGAGAGGTCACTGGTGTTTTTGATACATGTATAGAGCAGGGATATAACATGTCTCTGGGAGAGTCCGTTGAGCAAAGTTTCTCAAAGGGGGTAAGATGTCTAGTATATTCTTTTAGATGGGGTGAGCTGTGGATAAAGTGGTGGAGTTGTCTATACATCCACTGCGTTAAGGTCAAAGTAGGCCATTTATTCATAAGGAGGTCTCTGGATAACAGCAATCCGTCCTTGAAGAGGTGGTGCAGACTCACGCCGTCTGTGAGGCCAGATCACGCAAGAAAGGTATGCGACATACCTGGGGGGAAGTCTGGGTTCAATCTGACCGGAGTGAGTGGACCAGGGGAGGATGAGAATGCTGTATTCCTGTAGATCTGATGGTAACAGGACAAAGTAGGGCCTATGAGAATGTGTTCCTTAAGCTCAGATGGAATGTGAGAGGTAAGAAGCCAAGGGGCGGTGGCGAGCGGGGTCCCTGAAAAAGCAGTCTTCAATTCAACCCAGGCCTTGCGCGCATGGTTCGTGGACCAATCGACTATTCTTGCCATTTGACAAGCTTTGTGATAACGGGAGATGTCAGGTAGCTCTATACCTCCACACGTTTTGAGCATGGTCAGTTGGTCAAAACCAATTCTAGGGCGTTTATTACTCCATAGAAACGAGGTACATATTGTTTTGTAGGACTTGAAGAAGGAGTTGGGCAATTAGATTGGAATCGTTTGTGGTAGGTACAAAAGTCTTGGAAGCACATTCATCTTGAGGATAGCTGCTCTGCCAAACCAAGAGAAAAACGGTTTATCCCAAGTTTGCAGATCTTTGGTAATGTTACGCAGGATGGGTAAAAAGTTTTTGGCGTAGAGCTCTGTAAGATGGGTTGGCAATTGGATTCCTAAATAGGTGATGGCTTCTGATTGCCACGTGAAGGGGAAATTAGATTTCGCTTGTCTAAGCGCATCCTGGGTTAGGGAGATATTGAGTGCTTGGGATTTATTGAAGTTTATTTTAAAATTGGCCAAATACTGAAACAGTTTGAGATCTTGTAGTAGGTTAGGTAGTGTAATGTGTGGATGTGTCAAGAAGAGTAATATGTCATCAGCGAAGGCCGCTATTTTGTGAGTTTTGCCATTTATAGAGATCCCTTTAATATTGTCATTCCATTTAATGCAATTCAAGAAAGGTTTCAACGTAAGGATAAATAAGAGGGGGGATAATGGGCAGCCCTGTCTAGTCCCATTGCTTATGGAAAAGGCTTCTGAAAGGAGGCCATTGACTCTCACTTTAGCAGTTGGTGCGATGTATAGCGACATGATAAAGTTCAAAAGACGGGGAGGGAGCCCAAGGCCAACCAGAACTGCTTCCATGTAGTCCCATGCCAATCTGTCAAAGGCCTTTTCAGCGTCTAAAAAAAGGAAGAAGCCAGATTGTTTCTTCTGTGTTAACCAATGGTGTATGTTGATTGCCCTGATCGTGTTGTCTCTAGCCTCTCTACCGGGAACGAACCCCACCTGGTCAGTTGAGATAATAGGATCTATGATATGCAATAAGCAATTGGCCAATATATTGGCAAAAATCTTTAGATCGACGTTCAATAGGGATATCGGGCGATAGTTAGTGTGATATGCGCTTCAGAGAGATGGCGCATGGAATGTCCTGGGGTATCTAGTGAGTTGAAAGCTCTTAGGAATGGGTGTGCTAAGACGTCAACAAAAGATTTGTAATATGTGGTTGTAAGTCATCAGGTCCCAGGCTTTTGCCTGGTTTTAATTGTGCAATGGCCTGTTGCAATTCTTCCAGCGTCAAAACACCATCTAATTCTTTTGCTTGAGACTGGGGAATGGGTTTAGGGAGGAATTGAGCAAGAAAAGACTGAATAATGACCTTACGTGATCTAACATCCCCTAATGGTTTGGGTGGTAAAGGTAGGTTTTGTACAGGGAGGTATAGTATTTTTCGAATTCGGCTGCGATATCCGTGGAGGTGGTAAGTGAGTGACCTTATTTTAGAGTGAAGTTGAGAGATGGTACGAGACGCTTTTTTAGATTGCAAGGCCCGGGCTAAAAACCTACCGCACTTATTTCCATGTTCGTAAAAGAGTTTTTGAGTTAAAATGTAATTACGCTTTGTTTTCTTTTCCACTATGTCTCGAAGTTGTTTGCGGGCTTGGTCTAGTTCGTACGCATTATCGACAGCTTTAGAGCGCTTATGTGAGCATTCCAGCATATGTACTTTTTGGAGTATGGCCGCGCGGTACAGAGGATCAGGCAGAAGGATGGTCAGGCAAGCCAGGGGTTCAACAGGAGACGGTCAGCAGAGGTCAGGATCAAAGCAGGGTCAGCAACTAGGCAGATAGGCAAGAACACAGGATACCAGGTACAGGGGCTCATGGGAAACATACACCAAGGCCCTGATCACAGGCCTGGTCATTCCTTAAATACACCTCCTGTAATCAGCCCCAGGTGTTGGCTGACTGCAGGAGTGAGCTTCTGGCTGCTGAGAGCATCCGCTGGTCAGCCCTGGTACTGCAGCCCACACGGCAGGTGAGTCCCACCACCAGTGCTGAGTCCATTCCTGACAGTACCCCCCCTCAAGGAGCGGCCTCAGGACGCTCCAAACAGTCCTTAGTGGGCAAAATGTTGCACCGCCCGGGTCAGGTAACTGGCTGAATATCTTACTGCCGGAGTCAACCGGCTGGCTGGGTTTCCTGCTGGCAGACTTCTCTTTATGTAGGGGAACCCAGGAAGGCAGGTCGCTGGACACAGGATTTCCAGGAGCTGGTTGGGAATCAGTTATTGGCCAGTTTAGCTAAACATCAGAGGCTGGCACGTCAGGCTGGGCAGCGGACAGAGGCACGTCAGGCTGGGCAGCGGACAGAGGCATGACAGCGGGCACCGAGTCATCTGGCACGACAGCGGGCAACGAAGCATCTGGCAGAACAGTGGGCAACAAGTCATCTGGCAGAACAGCGGGCAACGAGTCATCTGGCAGAACAGCGGGCAATGAGTCATCTGGCAGAACAGCGGGCAACGAGTCATCTGGCAGGACAGCGGGCACCGAGTCATCTGGCACGACAGCGGGCACCGAGTCACCTGGCACGACAGCAGGCACCGAGTCACCTGGCACGACAGCAGGCACCGAGTCATCTGGCACGACAGCGGGCACCGGGTCACCAAGCTCAACAACGGGCAACGAGTCATCTGGCAGAACAGCGGCCATGAGTCATCTGGCAGAACAGCGGGCACCGAGTCATCTGGCACGACAGCGGGCTCCGAGTCATCTGGCACGACAGCGGGCACCGAGTCATCTGGCAGAACAGCGGGCACCAAATCATCTGGCAGAACAGCGGGCAACGAGTCATCTGGCAGAACAGCAGGCACCGAGTCATCTGGCACGACAGCAGGCACCGAGTCATCCGGCAGAACAGCAGGCACCGAGTCATCTGGCAGAACAGCGGGCAACGAGTCATCTGGCACAACAGCGGGCAACGAGTCAATCTGGCACAACAGCGGGCAACGAGTCAACTGGCACGACAGCGGGCAACGAGTCATCTGGCTGGATCGGGTCATCAGGCCGGGTGGGATCATCCAGCTGGGTAGCGTACACTGGGTCATCAGGCATCCGGGCATCAGGCTAAACAGAAGGCGGGTTCTCAGACCGCAGGCTGACTGATTTGGATACTGGCAGGATGGTACTGGTTGGAAATAATTTTCGCTTCTTCCTGGTTTTAGTTACTGGAGCACTGTAAGTAAACGCAGGTCTGTAAACAGATGGAGCAGCTGCAGACAGAGAAGAGCTGGAGGATGGAACAGAGGAAGGAGCAGTTGCTACAGAGGGCTTCTTTACAGGATTAAACGCAGGATATGTGCAGCGAGTGGGAACAGGGTTCTGAGATGTGGTTGATAGCAGGGTAGCATCAGGCGTAGTCAGGCAGGCCAGGTCAGCAACGTGCGGACAGTGAGGTACTGGAGGAGCAGGCAGAGAATAGTCAGGGTCACAAGCCGGGTTCAGTAACTCACGGGCAGCGCGGTACAGAGGATCAGGCAGAAGGATGGTCAGGCAAGCCAGGGGTTCAACAGGAGACGGTCAGCAGAGGTCAGGATCAAAGCAGGGTCAGCAACTAGGCAGATAGGCAGGAACACAGGATACCAGGTACAGGGGCTCATGGGAAACATACACCAAGGCCCTGATCACAGGCCTGGTCATTCCTTAAATACACCTCCTGCAATCAGCCCCAGGTGTTGGCTGACTGCAGGAGTGAGCTTCTAGCTGCTGAGAGCACCCGCTGGTCAGCCCTGGTACTGCAGCCCACACGGCAGGTGAGTCCCACCACCAGTGCTGAGTCCATTCCTGATGGGGGGGGTGATTGGGGGAAGGACGGAGGTAGAGAAGAGGAATAGAAATGAAAGCGAGAAAGAAAAAGAGTTCAAGAAATCAGAAAACAATATAGGTGAGGAGCATTAGTCAGTCACATTCAAAAACAGACGTGATGACGTTTAATCCCACTACTTCTCAAAAGAAATAAACTCCGGGGACCGAGTAATCCTGCTACGCTGTCCTGTAAAAGTAGTCTTATACGTTGAGAAGGTATTTGGTGTATTGTGTATGGGTGTATAGTAGAGACGGGAGTTGTGTCAGATCCAGCGGCGGCCTCTGTGAGGTGCCTCAGGACAGACCCAACAAAAACCTCAAGGGCCCACCAGGTATCGTGTAAGAAAAAAGCATGTGTAATGTAAAGCCTAATAAAAGAAAGCCATGACACAAGGAGGTAGGTGGATGTCAGCTAATTGTGAAGGAGAGAGGCTCACATGGTAGCATGGGGATAAATGTATGCGTTAATACATATAAAGGTGTGTTAGTTACAGTAGGTAATCATTTGTGTGTGAGATTCGAGGTGGTCACTCGTGGGTATATAGGGAATATGGTCTGAGGGCCATTGCTAATGTGTTTAGTCATGTGTAATATATTTGAAGAGGGCATCAAGGTGCGACCATGTCACAGGGTGTGGTGCAGTTATACAGTTACAATACTATAGCATCACAAGGTAAGCAATAAATAATAGTAGCGATTCGTTTAATCTGTGCCTGGTCATACTTCATACAGTGCATTCCAAAAAGACAGCGTGATAAGATCTCTTATAATATATCAATGTAGACTGAAACAACATTAGTTGTATATGAAGTCATAGAAATAGCAAATACGTAATGCAATAACAATCATAAATGTAGGTCAAGGGCCAATCCTCAGGTTAAACTGCAGCTCAATAGTCCTAATATAAGAGAAATATTGATCTCAACTGGGATGTGGTACGCTGTACGACAGGCCACCACCGTACATGAAAGTCAAACTCCAGATGCATGTGGTTATGAAAAACCACTAAGGAAGTATCATGTAGTAGTGGCCGGTCGAGAGCGCAGTCCAACATAAATCAAATACACGTAGTTAAAAACTAACACAACTTCAAAGCACATTGATAGTGTGAATAACGTATTAGTGAAATCCTATTCCGTATACCTGCTGCCACATCAAGTCGAAAGGCAGTTAAAAGGCTGGTATTTGAGAACTAGGTGAAACCTAGATTTCCAGGGTAATCATACCCAAAACTGAGAAGGATGTGTAGGCAGTTAAGCTGTAAGTTTTGGGGGAGGTGACATGGAATAGATACTTGGGGGAAGGGGGAGGGGCAGTAGTGCATTACCCTCATTATCTCACTTGTGAATGCATAAATCTAGATGCTTGTGTGTGCGTAGGAGGGGACAGTATTGGGAAGAAAAAGGTCCCATGAGCGCATAGGTAATTAAGACTTCTGCGGATAAACATAATGGGCGAGGTATGTGCTTAGGCAAGGCATAGATCTGTACCAGCAGTATCACAGAACTGTAGTGTCACATATGAACTCACAAATATAAGGCTCATTCCGGAATAGCCCATGGATCATCAAACGTACCTGGCAGGCAACTCAGGGAGGCCTCAGTATACCAAAATACGATATACATAAGATCACAATCGCATGACCTGTCCTATCTGGGGAAACCATCTGCAAAGTATGTTATGATTCAGTGACGCAGACATAAAACAAGGAAAATAAGCAGTCTGCAGCACTGGATCTCAAAATGGCAACACGCTCCGGCCTCGGCCGAGGCCACCAGCATGGTGCGAAAGGTCATCATTGACCGATCCCACAAACTAAAAGTCGGTAAGAGTATTGACTAAGGTTCTGTGAACACCACTGCCATGCAGCCTGCAAAAAGCAAGAGCCAACATAATCTTGGTGTCCACAATCAAAATCGGTGTACACTTATAATGAGCAGATATTGTACATGAGAATGCGGACAGTCTATTATAATACACATACCCTGGCGCCTGTCTCAAAGTGGTTAGGACTTCCTTCGGAGGTGAAATTGAACCAGGATTTGAAGGCAAGGCATGTGAAGTATTACCTCAGATGCGAGAAAAGCCATTAAATGGATAAGCGGTAATGCACTGATGTGAGGGAGGGGGGAACGGACAAGTGTCATTCATGACGTGCCTTACAACGTGCTGGAGAGGCTGGACGATTGTCCCCAAAGTTGAGCCGTTGGCTTGCAGGAGAGGACGAGGTGTAGTGGGATAGTCCGCGTCGCCTTGTTCCTCCCTGATATCCAGCAGAGTGTGCCTCCATCGGTTCTTCTTCCGCCTGGGATGCGAGGTGGGATACACCTGACCAATTGGGTATGTCCACTTTAGGAATGTCAAGGGCCTCGCAAAATGGTGTTACATCCTCCGGGAATCTCAGGAGCGCTGATCTCCCCATGTGTGTTGCTGAGAGGCCAAATGGGAATCTTCAGCGGTAAGCAATACCCCTTGAGCGTAGTAGATCCAATAAAGGGCGCAAGTCCTTTCTATGTTGTAAGGTAAGATGTGAAAGATCTTGAAAAAATTTAATGTCTGCCCCATTAAAGATCACACAATTGCGATCCCTTGCTCTACGTAATATTTCTTCTTTAAGACGGAAATCGACTAAGCAACAAATTACATCTCTCGGGGGGTCAGTCTCTCTACCTCTAGGGCGCATTGCCCTATGGAGGCGTTCAAACTCAATAGGAGACTCTTGCGGTCTTTCCAGCAGATCATTGAAAATGGCTAAGAGCGATTGGGTAAGTTGACCGGATTCAATTGTTTCAGGGACACCGCATACCCTTAAATTATGACGTCGCCCCCTGTTGTCCAGCTCTTCGATGTGGCGATCAAACTCTCTTAGACGTATAGTATGCATATCTACCAGCATGCGTATATCATGAATGGCAAGGTCTTGTGTGATAATTTTATCCTCCACCACTTCAAGCCTTTGGGCCACTGCCTGCATGTCGATATGTAAATCTGCAATCGCAGCAGAGAGGGTCTCTTTAATATCTGATGCAACCGCTTTTGAATCCTCTATAGTAAGAGGTGGGGTATCAAGACGACAGGCTGTGGGTGTTGTGGCTGTGTGCCTACTTTGCGAGTGAGGCGTCTTGTGAAGCAACTGTGTGAGAGAAGCAGGAGCGGAGGCCTCAGTGTGATCTGGTGTCTGAGACCGGAATAACTCCGGCATGCTGCGATTTGTGGGACCGTTAGGCTGGCGGGGGGATCTAGACCGTGGGGTAGCAGGTCTCCTATCCACTTTCCCCATAGCAGCGCGGTGTCTCTCCTTGATAGTATCAAAACTTCCACCTCCTTGTGTCAGGGCTCTTGTAACTAAGCCATCATGTTTTCTGGGCCCAAACTTGGCCCCTCTGTGCTTATAAACTTATGTGCTACTCTGTAGGATGATCGAGGGCTCCAATGAAGGCCTCAGATTGTAAGTGGCGGTCAATGAGTATTGATCCTAGTGTCTGCGCCAACCCTGTAGAGTATTGATTCTCGGGTTCCTCAGGGTACAAGCAAGGGGCCCCTCTGTCTTCCCCAGGTGCAGGGCTGCAGGGATTGAGGAGCTTTTGGGCCCTCTGGTGGCTCAGTAAGGCCTATGGTAGTGTGGGCGCCTAGAGGCCTTTATTACAGGCCGTATCCCCTGGTCTGAGTGTGGGGGGTCCAATAGGCCAGGGGGGATTGTCCGCTGTTCCGGGAAGG